GACTGTGGGGCATGGCCTTAAGAAAGCAGAAGTGTCATCACTCATCTGGGACATATGGTCAGAGCTCAACCCAAGTGTGGAGACGGAGCACCTTGATTGACTCAGTTCACCCTGTGTCAGAGTAGGGCTGGTTTCGAGGACAAAGATGGATCTGCTGTTGAGGCTGGAATTCCAGTAGATCTTTCTGTAAAGAGGAGGAGAGTAGAAGATACCAGCTTCACCTTGAGGGAGCTAGCAGCTTAGTGGGGAGCCAGAGCCAACACTCATGAACAGTTAAAGCAACAATATGTACAGTAGTATTATGATCGTGCAAAGTAAGACGTGCATTTGGTGATGTATGTAGGAAAAAAACAGTCTGAAGGGACATGGCCAACATATACCTGTGGGAGTCTCTAGGATCTTGGGAACATGAGGTGATTTTGTTTTTTAAGATGATGAATTTGGGACTTCCCTGGTGGTCCAGTGGTTAAGACACTGAGCTTCTACTTTAGGGGGCATGAGTTCAGTTCCTGGTCAGGAAATTAAAATTCCCCATGCTGCATAGATTGGTCAAAAAATAGGGGATAAGAGAGATTATGATTTTATTTTGTAATTAAGGAAAAAAGTGATGGCTTAAAGTGATATAAGACAGCTTACAACCCAGTTAAGAGTTCTGGAATACCACTGAAGTGAGAAATCCTGTGTTCTAGATTTGTTATAGGAAGATGTCATAACGGGTGGCATTTGGGGGGCTCCTGAGGGTTGGGTGGGGTGTAGCTTTATGGAGGGGAGAAGACACCCTAGTGAGAAACCCTGAGCAACTGGATGATCATGGCATGTGCAATTATCACCTTATTTCCTCTCAGCTCTAAGTCCACTCTTTGTCCTGTTTCCTGGTTCTGGAGCTAGACCCCAGAACATTTCTCTTTGGCCAGCTGGCACAATGCCAGGCTTTGTCATGCTACAGCTGTTTGGGGGATGGAGAAAGATCCTGACCAAAGAGGGTCTACAAAGAGCACACCAAGATTAGCCAAATAAAATACAAGAAAACCATGCAGGGTCTTAACTCCAGATGGGGAGGAATTTTCTAATGAACTGAAAACCTAGTGAAACATCTTTCCAGCATTGCCAAAGGTCTCCCAGGGCATAACACAGCTGGTGAGACTGCCCCAGCATCTTGCCTTCCACCTTACTCGTTCCTTCCTCCAATGACTTGGACCTTCCTCCAGGTACCGACTTCTCAGCAGGCTGAGCACACATAACTTCTCATACCATTTTACCTTTGCCCATGGTGTCGCCACTATCTAGCGCTAAGTCTTATTCCTTGACACCTTCAAATGGTTTGTCCTTCAAAAGGCTGATCGGACATCCTGTTGGTGGAAGGAGATTCCCCAGAGTCTCCTCCCTCCAGCTTAGTACCTTCCCCTCTACATCCTTCCACACTACTTCTTTTCCATGCATCACGTTATCTTAAGCTCAGTGTCTGCTCATCTTTTCTACCTCTAAACTTCTTCAGGGTTTTAACGCTTCCTTTCTTATCTCCAGAGACTGCTTGGAACACGGCAGGTGAGCTGAATCAATGTGGGCTGCACCCTGACTGCTCAGGACACTTTTGAAGAAAGGATTATATTATTCTTTGCAATTAAAACACTCAGAAGTCATGGGGCATCCTTGTTAGGGGCAGGATGGCATTTTAGTGATTTTAGTAGCTTGGGAGGTGTTGGCTAAACCAACATCTTGTCGTCGTTGTTCAGCTGCTAAACGTGTATTCCAATCAATTCCATCACCATGACATATCTTGCTGGTTGCCTGTCTTCTCTCCTTTGCACACATGCCGAGGTAAATGGTGAAAGAATTAGAATTCTACCGTTACTCAGTCTGCCTTGGGCCCAAACTCTGAAATTACAAGAAAGAAAACATCTGGACTTCCTCATGAGAATCTTAGCAATGTCCATTTCTGTTAAAACGCCTTTTTGACATAAAAAGGGGAATGTTCATAAGCGTACCATAGAATATTCATCACATTGCTGGCATTCTGTGAAGAACTGGGCTGGGTAAGTGGCTCCCGGGTCACTCTTACCTATCCCAAGCTGAGAGCATCTAGATTTTGATTGGATTATTGCCAGAGCTCATTAGCATAGTGTACCTTGACCTGGATTAGGGAACAGCAGTCTCTGCGTAGAAAATGACCAGAACTTGCTGGGACCTGAATCAGAGAGGACATTTTTCTGAAGCAGTTTTGGCTACATCTCCAAAAGTCAGAGGTAAGGAAACCATTATAAAGTTTCCGTTGTAAGATAAATAAATTATGGGGATATAATACACAGCATTAAAAATATAGTCAATAGTTTTGTAATAATTGTATGGTAACAGATAGTAGCTTGTCTTTTCGTGATGACAATATGTTTTACACTTGAGGCTAATCTAATATTGTAAGTCAATTTATATTTAAAAAAATGTAACAAAGCCAGAAATCCTAAGGAGAGACAAATGTAAGGGGGGGTGACAATGGTCACCCCATTTCTACAGGGGTTTCACTTGTTCTGCTTGGTCTTCTGTAGAAACGGTGAGACATGAACACACTCTGGCCCAAGTTGCTTTGAAAAAAGAAAGTCTGGACAAATGTTTTTTAATCCTGAGGAGAACGGAATTTGCTTGTTTGTTTCAAAGGTTGCAAACCATCTTTTCTTCTTCCTTGTATTTTAGTCTTAGCTCTCAGAGAAATATTAAGTTCATGTTCATTTGGCAAAAATTCATATCAGAAAAAATCGGAAAAGCAAGGTAGTTTTTCTGCACAAGATTTTTTATTTCCTTTTCCTTAATTTAAAAACAAAAGAATTATATCGACATTGCGTAGGCTTAAGGCAATATCTTCGACTGTTTTGAAATGTGAATCTTGTTATTCTAATATACTTTTTTTTAAAGTCTGAATTAAAGTCAATCTGTGGCATCATTTATTCTGTAACTTAGGGTTTCTTTCCCAAACAGAATTTGATTTAAACTCAATGGATATTTAATCTTGCACATCAGTGTTTGAATTGGGGGTACTGAAGTTTCATCTTTTTGGATGACTAGGTTGTACGTGAGTGTGGGTAGGTATGTTAGGGAGGGAAAAGACTCCTATTAACTTGTTGTTTAGTGGCAAAGACATTTATTTACACATTCAGGTCAACAGTTGTCTATATCTATGCACTTTACTTCAGTACATCTCAGTGACTGATAAGTATTAGGGTTACATAAAGCTAAATTACTGAGGAACAGAGTACATGGGACTCTGTAAGATTGAGACTATTAAGCTAACTTGTGGTTTGAGTGCCTCTGAAGTGGTTCTGTGTAACATCATTATGGTACTAGAGCACCAAGACATGGAAATGTCACACATGTAAACATGTCTTACTTCATATTCTATTAGCAAGCACATGTCATCTCAAAATAATTGGAGTTTTTTCCCCTCAAAGTTGAACACTTTAAGTATCTTTCCTTCTTTTTACTTTTTTGAGGGGAGGGGAGGGTAAGTTCCTTTTATAGATATGAATTTGAGCAAACTTGGGGAGATGATGGAAGACAAAGGAGTCTGGTGTGCTACAGTCCAAGGGCTTGCAAAGAGTTGGACACAACTGAGCCACCGAACAAGAACAAATCCCCTTTAACCAATCATAATTAGAAACTAGTATTTCTTGTTGGGGGTGGTGGAATACAGTTTGCACGGACATTTTTTAATATCTACTATTTCTGAAATACAATTTAATGATAGTAAGATCAGATAGAATTTTCTTGTGGCGGGCAGGGAAGAGTGAGATTGCTAAAGTCAGAAAGTCTTGAAGGGTGCTTTGGATCAAACAAAGATGAGAAACACTATTTTAGAGCAGTAGTCCTCAAAAAACAGTTTTTCCCTCTGGGAGACATTTGGCAATGTCTGGAGATACGGCTGGTGGTCAACAAGGAGGGGTGAGTTGCCGCCAACACCAAATGGGCAGAGACCAAAGGATGCTGTTAAATATCCTACAGTGCACAAGGCAGCCCCCACAACAAAGATTATCAAACAGGTTTTCAGTGTCAATCGTGCCACGGTTTCAGAGGAATCTGATAATCATTTGAGAATATTTGAAGATATAAAATATATGATTGAAGTCACTCAGTTGTGTCCGACTCTTTGCGACCCCATGGACTGTAGCCTACCAGACTCCTCCATCCTTGGGATTCTCCAGGCAAGAGAACTGGAGTGGGTTGCCATTTCCTTCTCCAATATATAAAATATATGCTGGATTATTAATCTCTATGGGAATTTAAATTTTAAAAAGACTTCTAGACACATCTGGCTGTGATGTTCCCCTCTTGTAACACATCCACAGGGTAGCTAATTTATGAAGGTGTATCCATGGAAACAACTCCAAGCCAGTTATCCCTCCCTCCCCAACCCAACACATGGAGGAAAAGGTCCTAACCATTGACTACAGGTGACCATGGTACTTACAGAGGCCTTTGCACTTAGGGCTAGCAACCAGGAAGGTAGCCCAAATCTGAGGGGGAAAGTGATGTTCTTCCCCATGGTCAAGCTTTATTCCAGCAGGCTCACTAATGGCTCCTATATTTTGTTTTTGTTTGTATGTTGGTGCTTACCAAAATGTCAGTGAAACAGTCTTTTCTGGCAGACGAGCGCTGGTATTTTAATTATATTTTCTTCTGAATTCCTTTTCTTAAAAGTCATTTTCAACTGGAGGATAACTGTTTTACAGAGTTGTCTGGGTTTCAGCCATACAACAATGCAAATCAGTCACAAGTATACCTATGTCTTCTCCCTCTTGAACCTCCCTCCCACCCCCTCTCCACCCAAGAGCACTGATTTTTATCTCTTTAATGATCAGTATCACTGTCATTTATTTTTTAGTGTTGGAAAGCAGTCTCCTGATCTAAACTGCTTGGGTGGACTGATCCAACCGAAAGAGCCTTTGAGAGCAAAATTCTCAAGTGCCTCTAGAACTGCTGGATAGACAGAAACGCGTGGGTGACCTGACTTCATCATGGAACCTGAGAACGCTGACTCTGCAGACAAAGAGCTAAGCTGGGATATTAATGATATGAAACTGCCGCAGGTATGTACTTGTTCTCATGCTGCGTTCAGCATTTAGCCGTGAAGCCTTGAATGTAGCTCGCTAAGACCTGGAAGGAACTTGGTGAGGGTCCCAGCAGGGTAAATGCCTCTCCTACAGAGTTTCAGTTGGATATCCAACCAAGGATTTTTTTAATGTATATACTTTTTATGTATTTACTTTTGGCTGTGCTGGGTCTTCGTTGATGTGTGGGCTTTTCTCTAGTTGCGGTGCCCAGGTGTCTCATTGTGGTGGCTTCTCTTGTTGCAGAGCACAGGCTCTAGAGCACAGGCTTGATAGTTGTGGTGCACAGGCTTAGCTGCTCTGTGGCATGTGGGATTGTCCCGGACCAGGGATCGAACCTGTGTCTCCTGCATTGGTAGGCAGATTCTTCACCACTGAGGCACCAGGGAACCTCGCCTCCGACTGAGGACTTTTAAGAGGAGATTCCTAAACCCATGATTTGAGAAGGCCCTCACAGAGCAGACTCCCCTGGTTATATATAGACTGAAGCAAAGAAAGTGTTACTTTCCTTCTCTTTCAAGGTTGTTTTGGCTCCAATGCCATCTGCCTGGCTAGCTAGTAGAATGGTATCCATGATAATGTGCCTATAGATTGACTCTCTGTAACACACAAACTCCCATACAACCTCATTTGCTGGTAGTAATGGGTTTAACCTAAATCTGTCATTGAGATGTCCCGGTGAGAGTTCTCTTCTAGATCTTTTGTGATGACTACACGGTCCGTGCATGTGGGGCTACTCTCCAGCGAACACAGTGACTTTCACTTTGTGTTTTTTTGCCTTCATCTTTGGCAATGACATTAAAAATTTTTTTTTAATTTTATTTCTTTTTGGCTGCACTGGGTCTATCTTGCTTTGCGCGGGCTTTCTCTAGTTACTGTAAGCCGGGGCTACGTTTCATTGCAGGGCTCGGGCCTCTCATTACAGTGGCTTCTCTTGTTGTGGAGCACCGGCTCTAAGCACGCAGGCTTCAGTAGTTGCAGCATACAGGCTTGGTAGTTGCGGTACATGGGCTTAGTTGTTCTGCGGTGTGTGGAATCTTCCCAGACCAGGGATTAATCCCATGTCCCCTCCATTGACAGGTGGATTCCCAACTACAATGCCACCAGGGAAGGCCTGGCAACTGACATTTTAAACTCTTAATTTGGTGGAAAACAGTTGTTTTATTTTTTATCTTTTTTTTTTTTTTTTTGCTGAGCCACATGGCTTGTGAGATCTTAGTTCCCCAACTGGGAACTGAATCCCAGGTCACAGCAGTGAAAGCATTGAGTCTTAACCACTGGACCACCAGAGAATTTCCAACATTAGTTGTTTAAAACTGATTTCCTTGACCCCTCGTTTTGGTCTTTTTTCCAGTGAAGAAAGAAGGTTTTCACTGGAAGTTACTGGGAAGAGTGCCTGGGAAAGCTAAGACTGGAGACCACCAGAACCATCTAGTGGAAGGTCATGCTCATTTGCCAGATTTGGGGGAATGAGAAATTTGAATTATCCCAAGCAGAGGAGAGGGAATGGAGATTCCACCGTTGTTGGTTTTTTCCCACAGTTTTGATTTATGCTCACTCCAGATTTCACTCTAAAAAAGGCTTCCAGATCATTCTAAATTTCACTCTAGTGAAGTGCTTCTCTTTATGTTTCCCCTTACACTTCCTCCCCCATTCTCTCCTGGTAGGTTTTGGAAGAGCTAGGAAGTACTAAGTCTGCCCTACTTGCCATTCATTTAAGGATGGCTAACTATATCACAGCTAAATCATGCAAATATCTATTTTAAGGGTTTCTGTTTATAGTTGCTTGTAATTGGTTTACAGTAGTTATAGCTGTTTTAGGGGAAACTTTAAGGTAAATTTTAATTACTCCTGGCTCAGAGACCCATATTCCTAATTCATAATAGAAGGTCCCAAATAGAGAAACTGGGCATCCTCAAAAACAAGAGTTGAAGGAAGCAGGTATATAGATGATTTCGCAAATTCCCATCCCAGAGCGGGACCTTTAATGGGGTCTAAGAACACTGTACTAACATGTATTTTTTTTCTAGGGCAGAGGGGTCATATCATTCATCAAATCTATAGACAAAAGAAAGAACCATGTCCCTGGAGGGGATCTCAGGGTTCATAAAGGTTCATGTTCCAACATGAATTTTCCAAAACTTAAGCCTTCTCAGCTACCAGAGACACTTACAAGAAAAGTCTACATGCAATTCTGGAAATGTACTATTTTTAGTTTGTAGAAAAACTTCAGTGGCTCATGAAAATAGATAAGTGTCCTTCAGTTTGTTAAATATGCCAGGGAAATGATTAAAAGAGCAAATGGTGCCTTAGTATTTTTGGAGAAGGAAATGGCAACCCACTCCAGTATTCTTGTCTGGAGAATCCCATGGACAGAGGAGTCTGGTGGGCCACAGTCCATGGGGCTGCAAAGAGTCAGACACAACTGAAGTGACTAAGCACACACGCACATTTTCTGAGCAGTCAACATTGTCCTCATCTGGATTTATGGGGCTGTGGAATCGTATCAAGACCCAGCTGAGGCAAAAAATAGAAGGTGTTGAAGCCAAGCACAGTAGATTTTTATATTTTGAGAGTGTTTCTGGAGGCAGAGCAGTGTACAATGAGAAGCACAAGGCTAGGAGACCAGGCCTAGGCTTTGAATTCCAGTCTTGCCTCCTTTTACCTGTAGAACTTCATGGAGTGGTTTAGCATATCTGAGGTCCCCTTTCTTCTTCTGATAATGAAGTTGTTGCACTAAACAGTCTCTAATGGACTCTTTTAGTACTAACAATCTAGGATCTGGTGACTCGAGATTCAGAAGGTGGCCTGCACCCTAGGACAGGCACTGGGTGCCAATCACAGGGCCTGGCACTTATTAAACAAGAAAGGACAAGTATGAAATTCATGAATGAGTGGGTCCATGGCTTATCATCTGGGTGACTCTAAACAAATCTGTTTTCTTGTTTTCACTATCTCCTCTGTAAAAGTAAAATAGTAATTCCTCATATACCTTGCTTGAATCTTTGAGTTGTTTAGAACAGATGATTTCTCAAAATGTGTTCTGTATGTGTAAGTTACAAGAAATTTTAATGGATGTTGTGAAGGAAGGAAAGAAGGACTAAGTTCAACCAAGTTAAACCAATTTCTTCTTCTTCTTCTTTTTTTTTCCCATGCCATGCATCATGTGGAATCTTAGTTTTGAATCCATGCCCCCTGCCGTGGAAATGCAGAGTTCTAACCACTGAAGAATTTCCTAAACCAATCTCTCTGCTGCAGACATAGTGTCTTTCTTACTGCATTATGGCTTTCCCAAGAGGAGGCTGTGTTGGCAATGTCACCCTAACTTATTTTTGACCACAAAGCTGTTTTTCCATGGAGCCCCTTAGGCAATGAGTGGTCCTCAGACCATCTGTTTGAGCATTAAAAAAATATGTTTCAAATAATTCCATCGATAATAGCAAACACTGGCTTACTACTATTATACTTTTCCCCAATTTCATTCTCTTTCCCACCCATACAAAGAATTTATAGTTTGTTTTTCATATTTGCATGTTCTTGCCATGGTTCCTACAAATTCCTTTCTTATTAATCCACTGACTTGCTTCAAGTTTCAAGATAGTTACCTGAGTGCTTATTGCATCTTCTGGTCCTGGAAACTCCAAAGGCCCTTTTTACATCACAGATCAAGATCTATGAGTTAATTTTTGGCAACAGTGAACAATGACATCCTCATCAGGACATCAAAGAGTTTTGATGTCAGTGGGTTGTGTCAGATACCGCTGGACGCTGGGGCTGTTAACCCATGTTAACTTTCATGGAAGGACTCAGGATTTGGGCCAGTGGAACAAGATCAGTGTCCGAACGGAGAATCAATGCCATATAGAAAAATGCCAGAGGCACTGAAGGAGGGCATATATAATTTAGTATGACTCCGACATGTCTACAGCCATATTACCCTGAACGCGCCCCATCTCATCTGATCTTGGAAGCTAAGCAGTGTCAGGCCTGGTTAGTACTTGGATGGCAGACTGCCTAGGAATACTGAGTGCTATAGGCTTTGGTTTCCCTGGTGGCTCAGACGGTAAAGCATCTACCTGCAATAGAGGAGACTCAGGTTTGATCCCTGGGTTGGGAAGATCCCCTGGAGAAGGAAATGGCAACCCTCTCCAGTATTCTTGCTTGGAGAATCCCATGGACAGAGGAGCCTGGCGGGCTACAGTCCACAGGGATCGTAAAGAGTCTGACCCGACTGAGCGACTAACACTTTCACTTACTTTCGGGCATGGGGATAAAGGCTGAGCATTTGGCAAAAGGGCTCTCTCTGGACAAGTATATTGTAAAAGGTGAGAGGATTAGGTCAGATGAAGATAAGACAACGAAGGCAAAGTAGAGCACTTTGAAGTTCAAAGCCTCCCTACAGGGGAGCTGTGCACAGGCATTCAGTAAGGAGATCTGGGAGACAAGCGGCCTGAAAGGTGGTTTGGAGGCAGAATTGTTTCATGTGCCCTCCTCCCTTCTTTCAGCTGCATGTTTGTCTCTATAAATCTTCATGGAACTCATTTCTGATCACTTGTCTGGCTCGTGGTTAATTTGATACCACTTCTACTTAATCCAGCCTCCACAGAGTCAGCCCAGAACTGCAGGCACTTAACTTACTCAAAACCATCATTGATAAAAGTTTCTTTATTCCAGTCCAATGTAATACACCAATTTTGCTTTCCCTTTCTATTCCTTTAAACTACTTTAGAAGTTCAAATATAATTGCTGTAGGGTTTGCTTGATCCAAGCTGCAAAAGTCTGGGTTGGGTTAGTCTCACCTTTGTTAAAAATGCTCACCACAGGGTTCCCTGGGCTTCCCAGGTGGTGCTCATGGTAAAGAACCTGCCTGCCGATTGCAGGAGGTGTAAGAGACGCAGGTTTGATCCCTGGGTTGGGAAGATCTCCTGGAGGAGGGCATGGCAACCCACTCCAGTATTCTTGCCTGGAGAACCCCATGG